CGATTTGGTCTTTAGTTCTCGTTATTTAAGTATTTCTTCTTATAATTATCATAGCCCTGCGTACACTATTAATGTTCCACCTTTACCTGATAGTTATAGGGAAGAGTGTTTTTACATTTGGGTTTATATTGAAAGGTTATTTGAAAGGATACTCCTATAGTTTAGTTATCGTCGTGTTGGTTATGGTTCATAGCAAGTAATTTTTTTTGTAGATTTAGGTTAATTTAAACTTTTAATTTTCAAAATTAAAGTTTTTTTCTATTAAAAGTTTAAAAGATTTTTTGAAGAAAAAACTTTTTTTGAAAAGTACTTACGATCAAAAGTGCAAAAAGTCTTGGCCTCATCAAGAAAAAAAATCTGATCATAAATACAAAACATCGATGCCGCGATTGTTTGGATCAGTAAGCTGTGGCCACAAGTAGAAAACATGATCAGACTCAATGAATGCAAAGAATCACCAAGTACTTGAAAATCCAATTACAATCAAAAAAAGAATGAAAGAATGCAAGAGCAAATAAAAAAGAGCAAAATGTAAGAGCAAAAAATCACAATTTAGAGTGTGCAAATATAAGACGGCTATAACGACAATTCAGAAATACTGTTTTTAACTGTTGTAAACCTCTTCTTTTTTGAGGATAATTATAATTAGACTTCTGGAAATACAGTAAAAAATACATGGAAAAAACAGCCTTAGTTGTAACTGCGCTGAAAACAAACAACTATTCTCCGCAAATATAAAAAAGAAGAGATTTACAACAGTTCAAAAACTGCAAATCTGTTATCTTCTATATTTTTTATTATCTTTTGATCTTCTTTTCTATTTCCACCATCTTTTATACATTTTTCTATTCTTTTTTACTTTTCTCATCACCTTCGCACCAACTTTTCATTCTTTTTTCTATCTTTTCTATAGCAGTCTTTTTACCACCCTTCCTTATCACCATCTTCTCTCCCCAGCTCTATCCTTCTGTCCACCAGCTATTACTTTTTTCCACTAAGTTGTAAGAGTTATGTATCTCATGATACAATTATCTACAACAACCACAATTCAAAAGACGCAATCACAACAGAAAAACACAAAAACAAAATTAACAACTACAATCAAGCACAAAAATAATTGCAACCACAACTCTAAAAAGAATAATACTTGTAAAGAAGCACACAATTAAATACAAAAAAACCCAGCAGAGAATCAAAAGATTTATGATAATTTGTGCCTAGTATTATCAGTTTTGAGAACTATTTCGATTCAAAGAGTCGAAATATTAAATCAAATACTGCAGTAAACAGTAGCCATCATCCTATTTATCTTATTTCCCTTTTTTTCGCTTATTCTCTATTTTATCATTTTTCAATTACATTTTATAACCACTTTTACTCCTACTTTCCCTTTTGACTACTTACTCCTTCCAAAACAAGGGCAGGGATCGAAGGAATAAGCTAATAGAATACAACAATAAAGACGCAAGGCAATTACAATTTGAGATGTCTCCATGTTACAAACAATAACAGTGGTAATAGCAATTAGATATCCTTAACAGCAGCATACTACCAGGCAAATATGCAGCTGACGTCGAATGGACGTGTTGCGTGAGCGTAGATGGCTGGTTACATCTGAGAAGATATCATCCCATCAGTGCCGACTTGACTAGACGTATTGACGGTGCAACAAAGCCTCTGACATAATCCAATCTTTTCAGTAAGGTCAAATAGAGCAAAGAATGGAAGACAGAGAGCGCAGGTCTGCCACTTCCCCCTCTTTTATCCCATTTCAACCCTTACCTTTCGCGCCTTTTTTTATCTACACAACTTCACGTCTATCTAACACATCAATTAATTTCTTTACCAAATGCCAATTTTGTAGTATGGCTTGTCTACTGCACTCATGTTTTTTCTCTGATGGAAAAATACTTGTTTCACCAATGAATCTTAAAAGTGCACACACGTGAAACGTACGCCATTAAGCAAGCTTTTGTATTATTAATGTAGTCACTAATTCATATGTGATGAAATGGTTGTACGATGTTTTTTACTACAAAACATTTGCACGCCCTTACCGCATTTACTAAATCTGAAAGAAAATATTTCCATGAATTCTACAGCTTATCAGAAAAGTCTTGTTTTCAAAAACGGTCAGTCACTGCATAGGTATGTTGATAACATCAAATTCGAAAAAACTCCTCCCAAATATGGTGATAATGTTATCCCAGCATTTGTTATTTTGCCTGAAAATAATTGTTATGTATGTAATATCTGTTTATTTAAATTAATATTCAAAGTAATCTCATTAGAAGTATAAATAATATGTCGCTAGATGTACCTAACTTGCTTACCAGAATGGACAAATTTGAATATCATTTTGAATGAAAAACGATATGCTATGAAGTACTGTTATTAAACTTTGTACTTGAATTATCGTCATGAATGATGAGATAAAATGTGAACATTTTAGTAATGGTATTATAGATTCAATAAAAAGTTAAAAGTAAAAGAAAAAATAATGCAAGTAATAACCGGCACTGACAATAGGAGCATGATTTTGAATACCTGATTCTGTTTTGGATTGCTGAATATATGGTATTCTTGTCGTGTTTTTGAAGGCAGCGTTTGTTTCTTCTAATTGAGTATAATCAAGTTCTGATTTAGATTTAACAATAGTGGGTTTAGTTACTTCTTCTGATAATACCTTAGGACAGGACTCTGCGCTCACACAAGTTTGGAAATCACTTAAATTGCAATCAAATATGAAAGAAAACTGGGAATAAATATAGTATTAACGATTTTATATATGCTTTGCTTTTTTTAAATAACAGTTAAAGAACTGATTACCAACAAAATCCACTCATTTAGATTTTTAAGAATTTTTAATTATTCATTATTGCATTGTTATTTCTGATCTGTTTTTTATGTCACGCAAACAAACCATACGTTTCTGGTCTAAAAATTAATTTGCATGTGAAAAAATCATCACAACGACGTGGTGTTTCTTTTAATCTAATCGCTACAAGTAACGCGTTGCAAAATCTATAAAACTAAAAACAAGGACTACTTTGGAGATTGAATGGATAGAAAATAAAGCAAAAGTATAATTTGCAAAGTAAATTTTTACAATTTTCTAGTTAAAGATAAGATGGAAATATTACGATTTTTGTTGCTTATTTCTGCAAACACATGCATAAATATAATTTCTTCCACGATTACATTGACGTTCATGATAAGAAGGGCAATTAAAATCTGATGGATATTCATATGTTCCATCACATATATATGGAACAAAATGTGAATCTTCTGATGAAAAGCAACGTTGAAACTCTTTCTTATCTATAGCATGAAACATTAATTCTTATTAATTATGCATCTCATATCAAATTTAAATAGTGAAAAACTTCAATGTATATGTATATATTGGATATGATTCGAGCTATATAATTATGAGAGTCTGGATACACTACTTTGAAGATGAAAATAAAACCATCCTAAATTTGCAGAAATATCACTTTTAGACATCTCAAACACTAATAAGATTTTTAAAAGTACCTAAATAATATAAAAATCAAATACAAAAGCATTAAAATAACGAAACTTTTAGTGCACTACTATCAATTACATTTTGTATCGAATAATGATTAAATAAAACGAATATGAATAAATTTTATCCCATTTTTGATGGTGATTAAGAAATTAATTGAAGAATTACACAATTGCTGATCAATACACACATATCCAAAAGCAAACTTCTCCAAAGTATTTTACCAAAATACACAACTGGCCTAAAATCACAGAGTGCTGGTAAAGTTTCATCCTCACATTCTAACGACTGCTCTAAAATAAAATTAATATTTTTAATTATAACAAATGTAACAGAGAATAATTTATTACTTGCTCTAACAAGTAGCCAGCTCAGTAACTCTCAATAACTTTTAAATTCAGCCCCAATTCTGTTGTTAACTGGTCCTAAAAACTGAGAAAATTAAAAGTTTATTCAAATATAAGCTTTATTCCAAGAAAATTTATAGTAAAAATAATTCTTACTTATCATTCCCACTATTAACGGAAGCAATATCTCTAAAACCATGAAAATTATGAACTGACCTGCTGCACTGATCGTTCCGATCAGATAAATAGTCTAAAGCATAGCCTCAATTGATAGTCATTTAAGACCATAAATGTATAGTAGGCCGTTAAAGCTTCAAATCCTAATTAAAAATTATCAGAAAGCAACTTAACGTAAAGTAAAAAATAAATGACAAACGAACTTAGCATTTTCAAAATTGAAAATTTAAGCACAAAAAATTTTATTATTCGTAAAAATAATAAAATGAAAATGACTTTGGTATTATTTTTCTTTCAAAGAACTTATATTGAGCCGTTGGCTAATATAAGGTGCGGTTCTGAGGAATGCACGTAGCGAATCATTTGTTGTTTATGGATGATCTCAATATCTTTGCGACGACCTATGAGCATATCATGAAATTTATAGCCGAGGAAGTTGAAAAGCTTCTTGATCTGGTAGAGTTCCTTGATGTGATACAACGGAAACAGTTTTCAAGAAGACGCTCGAAAACATTTCCTTCGACAATCGTTATGGATTTCACGAGGACGATGGGAAAACGATGAGCGAAACAAATCTGAGCGCGGAACAAGTACACCCAGAGTGCCGGAATGCGATCCAGCGCCAGAATCAATAAAGCGAAAACGAAAACTAATCTCCACATTCTATTATATATATACATACACATATATAAAATCAATGTATATAATATATATATATTTATGTATAAACAATTATATTTATATGTTATATATATATTAATTTTAAATATATATATTCTTTTACAGTATCAAAACTTTCAATGTACTTAGTAATTAATTTTTGATTAATCGTTTAAGCTGTATATATATATATAT